GAACGAAACTAACTTTTGAGGAGGGAAATTAATCCTCTTTGCGAGGTGAATGATATGTTGACAAGCCAATGTTCAGTAACCTGTACAAATGATCTTTCTCAAAGGATCTTCACTGGAGTTAGTGGAAGACCAAAGTTTAAAATTTCAAAACAACAGTAGGAATTTATATTTCAGAACAGTCGTCTCTATATAAAAATGTAATACCACTTTATTTCACTCAAAATAGCGATACAAAGAAAAACTTTAACTTATTAACATAATATTAACAGCAATCCCCAAAACTCCTTTGTGCACCCAGCTCCAGATATTCAAATCATTGATGCCGGGGCCTCTAAGGCCCGCAAAATGGGACAGACAATTGATCAAACAGTGTCCAAACAATCTGTACATTCACAGACAGCAGCCAAACAGCCGTGTTTGAATGCTTATCTCGAGGCCGATGAACAAAACGAAGTTGAAGAACTTGACGATGAACTAGCTTTTGCCTGCCTCACGTTGGCAAGCAAGCCCAGAGCTTACTGAGTTTATTGAATCTTTTTGCAAATCGCTTGCGCCATCAATTTTAAAGACATTATGTCGAAAATACCCAAGACCTGACATTGAAGCGGCTTATACTCCAACCCTAGACAACTATTTATGTAGCCTCGTTTCGGGGGTGAAGCAAGTCGGTAAAGACGCTCACTTCCTACAAGATAGGGTACTGGACACTTCAAGCCCTATGTCTTTTGCTTATGAGCACTTAAATATGATTTTGCACCAATTTAATGATGGGAGCTATTATAACACTAGCCCAAGAACAAATTAAAGGACTTTTTAATGCAAAGTGTAACAGTATACTACCTGTGGGCAATGCCTCAGCATTACTCTCAAAAGAAAGGCGTAGTCTGGTCCCAAAGAAGATTAATTCTAAAGGAACTCTTAAATCTTTGGCATCTGAAGAGTTTCCTGATGCCCAGAAAAATCTCTTCGGTGATGGCTTTAAGGAACGCCTGAAAGTTCGATCAGAGACTGCTCAGACTTTATTTTCAGCAGCTAATGTTGATTCTTAAGAATCCAACATTTTTTTGAGGACGCACAACCTCTCTCCGGGGCAGGGCATATAGAGGGGTTGGTGAATTTCGAGGTGCCCCAAGGAGCTGTTACAACAGAGGTCAACAACCCCACTACCAAGGATCATGCGGCAGGGGCTATCAACCCAATGCAGCCCAGAACACAAACCAGCAACAATATGGCAGGTAAGTCATTCTTCAGCTCCAGAAATTGTAGGGACCGACCTAGATTTGATACAGTTGGACTTAACTCATCTACTCTTAGTGGGCAGGCTAAAACATTGCCTAACAAATTCGCAAAAAATCTACAGACCCTTGGGTTTTACAAGCTTTAGCAGGTTACCACATAGATTTCATAAGTCAACCATATCAGACAAGTTTTCCTCCACGCATAATTCATACCCCAGAGGAGAGCAATTTAATAGAGACAGAGGTTCAGGAATTATTTAAAAAGGAACCATCAACCCAGTTTCAGGACATTGAAAGCAAGATGGGTTTGTCAGCAACTTCTTTCTTGTACCCAAAAAGAGAGGGGTCAGAGACCACTAATAAATCTGAAGAGACTAAATCAATTTGTAAAATACGAACACTTCAAAATGGAAAATATCCATATGCTCTGCGATCGTTTAAAAAAAGGCGAATTATCTGGTCAAAATAGATTTGAGGGATGCCTACTTCACAGTCCCGTCCCCATTTGGGTAAATCACCAAAAATACCTGAGGTTCCCATGGAACGAGAACCTCAATGAGTTTGCCTGCCTTCCATTTGGACTAGCATCAGCGCCAAGGGTGTTCACCAAATTCATGAATTCATAGGCGTGTTACGCCTGCTAGGGATTCGAGTAATAGTTTATCTAGACGACATGCTAATTATGGCGGAGTCTCTAGAAATGGCCAAGGGTCATGCAACAACAACAGTGAAGTGAACCTTCTAGTTAGTTTAGGGTTCACTGTAAATTACCAAAAATCAATTCTAATACCTCGAACAACAATTCCTAGGATTTTTGGTCGTACTAAAAAACTTTAATTTATCTTTTTCAAAGGAAAAAATAAAAAAACCAAGAAAGCATGTCAGTCAATTTTAGACAACCCCCTACCATCCATACAACAACTTTCCCAACTTTTGGGCTACCTAACTTCCACCATTCAGGCAGTCTTCCCTGCACCAATTCATTTTCGGCATTTACAAGTAGACAAAAACAATGCCTTGAGCGCTTGCCAAGGCTACTCGGCCACTCTCAACCTCAGCCAACAGGCAAAGGAAGAGTTGATCTGGTGGAGGAACAATCTGGATGCTTGGAATGGGAAAGCTCTAGTTACAGGGGAACCGGATCTAATAATAGAAACGGATGCCTCCTGCGAAGGGTGGGGTGCCCTCCTGCATGGGTTAGACAGCCAGAGGAAGATGGTCCCTCCAAGAACAACAACTCCATATAAATTGTCTGGAACTGATTGATAGCAGGAGCATTTATTTGCCCTCAAGGCTTTCACGAAGAACAAGGCTCAAATGCACGTTCAGCTGTTGATGGACAATAGATCAGCCCATTACATAAACAAGATGGGTGGGATCAGGTCCCCTATTCTGGCCTCCCTAGCAAAAGACCTTTGGCAGTGGTGTCTCAAACGCAAGATTATGCTGGAAGTACAGCATCGCTTGTTGGAGACCGGATCTAGAGGCAGAATCTCTCTCAATGCATGGGCTCAAGATTGGAGCAAGTTCCAAGGCTACTATGTCTTCCCCCCTTTTTCCCTAGTGGGGCAATGTTTAAAACATGGGATATTCAAATGGTTATCGGCTATATAAAATCTCTTGGGAGTAATGAGGCATTAGGGACCTTAAGATGCGCGACGGGAAACGAACGACGGGCGGGTAGAAAGCGCGGATAGACTGGAACGAGAACGCCGTCGGGTGTTGCAAAAAATACAGTTAAGAAACGCGACGGCTACAGCTTGCATATTTTACATGAAGTGTTATAAAGAAAATGTTTATTACTGCCAATATGGCCTCCTTCAAATATACTCGAAATTCTCTGCTTTTGGCTTATGACGAAGATATCATTGACGACGAAGAATTTGCGCTCTTGTATGATCTACACACATCAAAAAATCCTTGTTTTCCATACGAAGAGTATGATCATTTTAACTTAGATGCCGTTGACAGCGTCGAATGCAAAGTAGAATTTCGTGTGGAAAAAAATGATATACCTCTCTTGGCCAATGTTCTTCGTATACCAGCGAGATTTCGATGTCAGCAAGGAACGGTATGCGATGGAGTCGAAGGATTATGCATATTGCTAAAACGACTCGCTTACCCATGTCATTTTAGTGACATGATACCTCGCTTTGGTAAACCAGTTCCTGTCTTGAGTATGATCACAAATACTGTTGTGGATTACATTTATGAGGAACACCAACATCGTATAACTGGATGGAACCAGACAATCTTGAATCCTGACAAACTTGAGCAATATGCCGAGGCTATATCGATGAAGGGAGCAGCTTTAGATAATTGTTTTGGGTTTATTGATGGGACTGTTAGACCCATATGTCGCCCTAAAGAAAAGCAGAGGATTGTTTACAATGGGCACAAGAGAGTGCACGCCCTTAAGTTTCAGTCAGTGACACTGCCATCTGGAATGATCACTCAAATGTTTGGCCCGATAGGTAAAGAAGAGTGCAAATAATTAATCCATTGAGCCTCAATGCACCTTACTTATTTTTTTTTACTTGTCTAATGCCAGACAGTTTTAATGAGTTAATATACAACCAATCTATTGTGAATGATTGGAAAGTGCAAATGTGATTATCAGCTGGTCAAAATAATTATTTTTTTATTACCTTTAGAGGGTAAAGACATGATGCAAGGATGCTGAGAGAATCTGGGTTGTTGGATCTACTGCAGGAAAATGCTTATTCACAAGCTGGAAGTCCTATGTGCCTATACGGAGACCCCGCCTACCCTCTTCGTGTACACCTACAGGCACCTTACAGAAATGCTCAAATTACACCTCAAATGCAAAAATTTTAACAAGTCAATGAGTTCTGTAAGAATATCCGTTGAATGGTTGTTTGGAGATATTGCAAATTACTTTAAATTTATGGATTTTAAGAAAAATCTTAAAATAGGATTGAGTTCAGTTGGAAAGTTTTATGTGGTGTCTGCTCTTCTTAGAAATGCACTTACTTGCATGTATCATAATCAAACATCAAAGTTCTTTTGACTGGAACCTCCAACGCTGTATGAATATTTTAAGTAAATAAATTTTACATTTTTATATACATGTACCTGGTATATATTGTTGTTTTTTTTATCAGCGAGTTATAGAATTCGGTTATCCGCATCCCTTTACTTTGGACTTTTATTTCTTAATAAATATAAATAGAACATTTTTCATTATAATAACAAAATTTACAACTATATATATATGTATATATGTATGTATGTATGTATGTATGTATGTATGTATGTATGTATGTATGTATGTATGTATGTATGTATGTATGTATGTATGTATGTATGTATGTATATATGTATGTATATATGTATGTATATATGTATGTATATATGTATGTATATATGTATGTATATATGTATGTATATATGTATGTATATATGTATGTATATATGTATATATATATATGTATATATATATATGTATATATATATATGTATATATATATATGTATATATATATATGTATATATATATATGTATATATATATATGTATATATATATATGTATATATATATATATATATACAAGTACATAACAAAAATAAATACAATACAAATACAATACAAATACAAATACAAATACAAATACAAATACAAATACAAATACAAAAAGGTATTTTGTCAGTTAAGCCTAATATAAATAGGACAATCCAAACAGCAAATTACATAAAGATAAACAACACAACTATGATTGGTTTTTAATATAGAGTTTTTTCTTTAATTTTTACCGAGTTTAGAAATTAAAGCAAGCATCATAGTTTGGAAGTCTTGCATTTGCTTGTTATGTTGCTGTTGCTGCTGAACAACCACATTCATCAAAGCCTCGTGTTTCTTTTCTTGCAACTCAAGTGTTTTTCGCTGTAGTTCCATCTCTTCTTTTTTAATTTCTGCCTGCATCACATTTTTTTCACGTAAGAACAACAGGGTGTCACCTCCATTTGACCTTCTCTTTTTTGGTTGCCCTTCATTCTCTTTATCTGTACCTTTTCGTTTTTGGGTCTCTCCTAACTTCTCCATTGCTTTCCTCCGCACGTCTTCTGCACTTTGTTTTTCTTTATCCATTTCTTTCATCTTTACACCAGACTCGTATTCCACTTGTTTTGTTGAAGCATCCTCAATTTCAATGATATCTTCCAATGCATCTTCTACCTCTGTCATTTCTGTGTCAATTCCACTGGCCTCTTCTTCTTCTCTTAGCTTTTTTTTAAGTTTTTGTGATAGAATCTTCTCTTAGCTTTTTTTTAAGTTTTTGTGATAGAAGAGTATATCTATCCCTCACTCCTCTTTGGTCAACTATGAACTTTGGATTTTCTATCTTCATCAGGTTATGAACAATCTCATTCCACTTGGCCCCTCTTTGAACTGTCCCTTTTTTTGTTCCAGTAAAAGGATCCACTGCTAAAATTTCACGACATAGCATAATATCGTGTTCCTCAGTCCAAAACATAGTCCTGTTATGGTAAAGTACGTAAATATAAATGAAAACTTCTTAATATTATATAATTACGTTATGTATAGACCTACTGTAATTATGTGTACTATGTATAAGCAAATGCATTATTAGGGACCGGTCATTATTTCTTGTGGGTGGGCAAAAACAAGGGGTGGGTCACTAGAATTTATGTAATAAAAGGATGAAGTACACAAGTCTGAAGCTGTTTGCCATATAAACAAGAAGTGGACATGTAGCTAGACATTTGTCATTTTGTTAAAGAGGACTATGTACAGTGGCTGTAATTTAACTGCATATGTCAAGATATAAGTTTTAACGCTATTCAAGTTGTGATAGTTTAAATTATAAAAAAAACCTCTTATAATAAAATGTCTTATAATATAAGCTATTAAATAAAGTTATTGAACTGTGAAATATTGAAGTTCTTTATAAAATAAGCTATTCAACTTCTAATATAAACAAAGAAGCATGCTATCTATAACAATTAGTTAACAACTGTTGTATTTGTTGTTGCAGTTTTATAAATAAAAGACAATAAAAGACAAATTATCAAAAGACAAATTATCAAAGGACAAATTTATATCAAAAGACAAGATGCCAATGTACTTACGTCGTTTTTTTTTGACGTTTTTTTGAATCTTGTTTTTCCTTGCTAACTTCTACTTCGACGACTTGTACAGAAATGTCCATTATATGTGTTTTTTTTATGCTTTTATAAAATTTATCTTCACGTTGTGCTCACAACTTGAGATTGTCAATTTTGCCGTTGTCGACTCGAAGGGACGGGAGCGCGAAAGTAATAAGTGACTCTCTGCGCATGCTCAGATAAATTTTTAACTTCCGGTTACCGGTCGTTGTCGTTTCCCGTCGCGCATCTTAAGGTCACTATTACCTCTCAAAACCATGTCTTTAAAGTTGGGAACACTGCTAGCCATAACTTCACTAAAATGTGTTTCAGAAGTTGTAGCTCATGATCTTCGATTTAGACGTTTTACTCCAGAACGAGTCTGGTTTGAGCTACCGGACTTGGTCAAAAAGTCTCGCTTCCTACATGGTTTAAGAAATCGTTTCATGCGAGTTTTCTAGAAAATGTTATTATCTGTGTAGTAAATTGTCTTCAAGAATATAAAAAATGCAGGAAGGAATTTCGAACACAATTAGGTTGATCTGATCCAAATCGATTGTTGCTATCTTATATTCGTCCTCATAAACCTATTACTTCGGATACTCTTAGTCATGGATAGTAGAATTTTTAAAACAAGCAGGAGTAGATACCAGTATTTTTAAAGCCCATTCAACCCGAAGTGCTACGTCTTCAGCAGCCATCAGAAACAACTGTTGCTTAAAGGATATTTTAGCCTTAGCTGATTGGTCTACGGACTCCACGTTTAAACGTTTTTATTATAGACCATCAACCAGTTATGCTTTTATTATAGACCATCAACCAGTTATGCGTAATGTTTTAAGTACAACCCCAACAGTTCACGAGAAGCTTTGAACTTACATTGCCAATGGCAGCCAATATGGTGCCGTCTTGACTACCATCACTGTAAGTATGCACATTTTATCTTTTTTATCGCTCAAAGCGAGTACATTGAATGTCCAAATTCTAGAAGAACATTTATTGACTATGCATGACGTGCTATATTAATTAAATAATGTGTTTTGAATAAAAGATTAACCTGAGAAGTAATTTTGATTTTGAGCTATTGCTTTTGCCAAACTAAGCATTTCAAGTTATAGCTACTGAATTCTACTAATTCTAAATATGCCAATTTCATTTTGTTAAAGGTTTTTGGTCAATTTCATTTGTATGGCCAGTAACAGGAAAAATAACAATGACAGCTTTGCTGTACCACTTCCACCTGAAAAGAAACCAGGATTAATTGCATACTCAAAATGCATTATCTGCCAAAGTCCATAATAAAGATGAAACGTTAAGAAAAGCAAAGTCGTCTTCAATCACTACTCTGCAAAACGCCTTTGTAAGGATGAAGTCTATGAACGACTCAACACGGAAATTTGCAATCTTGCTAATTGCAATGTGTTATGGCATGCCACATGTTGCTCATCTTACACCAGCTCGCAGATTTTGGCATATGCTACCAGCAATCACAAGGAAGGAGAAGTTCGATCATTAGATGATACACTTAGAGTTATAGAGTGTCTGCCTGTTTCTCCATAGATTGGTCTAAATGTTTAATTTGTGGGAATAAGGCACATAAGAAATGTTGCGAAATGCACAATGTCAGCAGTACCTTTGCAGCATGCAAATTGGTTCGAGAAGCAGCTGACGAAAAGAATGCTATATGCTCTCAGCTCAGTCAACAACAACCTTATAGCTAGTGAAGCAAAGTATCATAAAACCTGTTTTGCCTCTTATGTTAGCAAGTCCAATCTTAAGCACAAGGCGTTTAAAGAGACAGACGATTTACGATCTAGTATTTAGAGAAGTGGTGACTAAAAAATTTACTTTCAGCATATCCTAAACACTTGGAGGAGAAGGGAATCAATGCAGATGGTTACAACAAACAGCGTCTGAAGCTTCGACTTGAAAGGTACTTCGGGGAATATATATTTAAGCAATATATCTGTGCAAGATGTTCTAAATGCAGCAGCAAAGAATTCACAAGTCACATCGGCAAAAAATAATGTTCCAGATACTACAGCGAATTAAAGAAGATATACAAAAATGCAATGGAATTTCAATAAAACCTCTTGACGCAAGTGCGATATCTCTACAATCGGCAAGAATCATTCCTCCCACCCTGTATTGGCTACTCCGCATGATAACCACATCGAATGACACTGGAATTGACAACTTTGATCAACCAACTCCCTGCGAGAAAATGCAAGACGAGAGGCGAGTTCTTTGCATAGCACAAGATATTGTTATACTGTGCATCAAACTCCCACGTGAAACTCCCAAAGCAAATAGGTCTTGCAATGGCAGTTCATCACCTCACAGGACGTAGAAACCTATGGCACAGTCATCCCATCAAGCATCACTGAAGGATCATTTATTTGTGCAAGTTGCTGCCAATAACAATGACTTGAGCGAGGAGACACTGGACTGGAGAAACACTACACATGCTACAACCATGGTTGTCTACACCAAAGACAGACATTTGGCCCAGAGAAACCACCTACTACCGTTGGTGATCATTCAAAGAGGCAGCGTAGCTTAAAGAGAAAAGGAAATGCATATCTGTTAGAGGAATGTTCAGCTTATGGAAAAAGACCAGCAGTTACCCAGTATACTGGCAAACTTAACATAGAATGACTAAAGGGCGTCAACAGCGATCTGACTGCAGTAATCAAAATGGACAATGTGTGGGCCCTCGTATGAATCCAGCAAGCATAACACAGATAGGCGTTGGTGTTCATGGCCAAGAAGTACAGCCAGTTCCAAGCTGGGGAGGATTCAATTCAACCTTGTATCCAGACCTTTCCCCGGAGAGCAAGATTGAACCTGAAGCGAGGATGTCGCTGCCAAATACGATCTATACCCAAACACTAGACCGAAGCCATGCACGACAGATGAATTAAGGTATCTCTTGTTTTGTCAGAAAAAAATAAAAGAATGAGCTGCTTAGTAGCGTTCTGGTAGTGCGTACATTTAAAATGTGCGCACTACCAGACCTTGGTTTGGAGAATGGCTTTAACAGCAATTCAGGATCTTCCACAGCCCAATAGTTATGGGTGGATTCGAGACAGCTTCTCAGTCATACCTGTCCACATGATGAAAGAGCCAGTGCCAAACAGTTTGTTGGAACTGACAAATTGCACATGCAAAGGGGGGGTCAGCGCAACTGCTCTAGTAACAATACCGGTCTGTCATGTACTGAGGCATGTTTCTGCATGGCCACTGCCGATCTGTGCAAGAATCCACATGGTGTTAAGGAATTATCAAGTGATTCAGAAGACTCGGATACAAACTAAAATCGTCTTGTAATGATTTATGTAGTTTAAACAAAACGTTTGCTTGAAATGTTTGTTTTGAACGGAGTGACAAACCAAATTACTGTAACACTCAATATAATATACAGTATAAATTAATCACAAATGAGACCTCCCGGACTTTGATTTTGTTCTGTGCTGTTTATTGACATTATAAATCTGTACTACCAAGTAATACCTGGTGTGTTTTATTTTTTAACAATGGAGAAATAAGGGTTTTCATAGAATTATGGTCATGTGACCAATCACGTGACACCATTGGTAAACAAAAATTACGTTTGTCTGCCCCCTAAGAGGTGTGTATCAATGTTTACTTGCGTTTTGTAAGAAAATTCGGATTGCAAGGGCCAATGGGGGCATTTTCCACATCAGCCTCGTTTTCATGCAGGGCTTTAAAGTAACACCTAAAAAACCAGCTGTATTTTGGAACGTACCCCACATATTGAGACTACGACATATCTAGCATTAATGAGGAGGTCTTTCTCTACTAGAACCAGGCGTTGAACCTTTTCTGTGGTGAGGGTTAAACAAAACGTAAGATTTTCGACCACTGCTCCCTGACTGTGTGTATGTATGCTAAAACGAACTGTAGCCTATGTATAAATGTTATTCACAATCATAGATATGCCAGAAATGTAATAATACGAATATGATTGGAGAGTGATGAATATAAGGCATTGATTTTGTTTATGTAATACTCTTTCCGTGCATGTATATACACTGGCGGTCAAAAAGAATTGCTCAAAACAAGTTAAATTGCTCTCAGATGAACATAACTGTTCCTCTAACAATATATATGAGTAAATTTAGACTAGTTTACATGCTAAGCTATATGAAATATAAATATTTTGTTGACCCTCCTTTGGCCTTATAATTGATTACGGCCTTACACCGGCGTGGTCATATTTTCTGTTAAGGTGGTAATCTTAACGGTCAAAAGAAATTCATCCTAGAAACAGTCTTTACAGCAACGCATAAATCATGAACGGTTTATGAATGAATTCCTTTCTTGCACTATCCCCTTGACATTGTCC